GACCCCCCCCCCCTTTTACCCACTGATTAAACTCATCTAAAAAATAAAGCTGCTATCACAATGACCCTTGATCCCCCCCCCCCCCCCATCGGTATAAGTACCTACCAGACCTACCAATTAATCACCCGCTTCTATTACCCACCCCGTCACCCAACTCCACCATGCCAAACAGTACCAGAAAGTAATTACAAATTTCTCCCTCGTCTCAATGACCCCCCCCCCACACACATGTAAACTGTACCAAAAAGTACGTACAAATATCTCCCCAGTCTCAATGATTCCCCCCCCCCCCACACACACACACCCCTATAAACTATACCAAAAAGTACGTACAAATTTCTCCCTCGTCTCAATGACCCCCCCCCACACACACATGCATGTAAACTGTACCAAAAAGTACGTACAAATATCTCCCCTGTCTCAATGACCCCCCCCCCCCACACACACACCCATATAAACTATACCAAAAAGTACGTACAAATATCTCCCCCGTCTCAAGACCCCCCCCCACACACACATGTAAGCTGTACCAAAAAGTACGTACAAATATCTCCCCCGTCTCAATGACCCCCCCCCCCACACACATATAAGCTGTACCAAAAAGTACGTACAAATATCTCCCCTGTCTCAATGACCCCCCACCTCCATACTGTACCAAAAAGTACGTACAAATATCTCCCCTGTTTCAATGACCCCCCCCCCACACACACCCATAAACTGTACTAAAAAGTACGTACAAATATCTCCCCTGTTTCAATGACCCCCCTCACCCATATAAACTATACCAAAAAGTACGTACAAATTTCTCCCTCGTCTCAATGACCCCCCCCCCACACACACATGTAAACTGTACCAAAAAGTACGTACAAATATCTCCCCTGTTTCAATGACCCCCCCCCCACACACACCCATAAACTGTACTAAAAAGTACGTACAAATATCTCCCCTGTTTCAATGACCCCCCTCACCCATATAAACTATACCAAAAAGTACGTAAAAATATCTCCCCTGTCTCAATGACCCCCCCCCCCCCCACACACACATGTAAACTGTACCAAAAAGTACGTACAAATATCTCCCCTGTCTCAATGACCCCCCCCCCCCCCCACACACACCCCATATAAACTATACCAAAAAGTACGTACAAATATCTCCCCGTCTCAATGACCCCCCCCCACACACACACATGTAAGCTGTACCAAAAAGTACGTACAAATATCTCCCCCGTCTCAATGACCCCCCCACACACACATATAAGCTGTACCAAAAAGTACGTACAAATATCTCCCCCGTCTCAATGACCCCCCCCCCACACCCACACATATAAGCTGTACCAAAAAGTACGTACAAATATCTCCCCCGTCTCAATGACCCCCCCACACACACATGTAAGCTGTACCAAAAAGTACGTACAAATATCTCCCCCGTCTCAATGACCCCCCCCCCCCCACACACATATAAGCTGTACCAAAAAGTACGTACAAATATCTCCCCTGTCTCAATGACCCCCCACCTCCATACTGTACCAAAAAGTACGTACAAATTATCTCCCCTGTTTCAATGACCCCCCTCACCCATATAAACTATACCAAAAAGTACGTACAAATTTCTCCCTCGTCTCAATGACCCCCCCCCCCCACACACACATGTAAACTGTACCAAAAAGTACGTACAAATATCTCCCCTGTCTCAATGACCCCCCCCCCCCACACACACACCCATATAAACTATACCAAAAAGTACGTACAAATATCTCCCCCGTCTCAAGACCCCCCCCACACACACATGTAAGCTGTACCAAAAAGTACGTACAAATATCTCCCCCGTCTCAATGACCCCCCCACACACATATAAGCTGTACCAAAAAGTACGTACAAATATCTCCCCTGTCTCAATGACCCCCCACCTCCATACTGTACCAAAAAGTACGTACAAATATCTCCCCTGTTTCAATGACCCCCCCCCCCCACACACACCCATAAACTGTACTAAAAAGTACGTACAAATATCTCCCCTGTTTCAATGACCCCCCTCACCCATATAAACTATACCAAAAAGTACGTAAAAATATCTCCCCTGTCTCAATGACCCCCCCCCCACACACACATGTAAACTGTACCAAAAAGTACGTACAAATATCTCCCCTGTCTCAATGACCCCCCCCCCCCACACACACACCCATATAAACTATACCAAAAAGTACGTACAAATATCTCCCCGTCTCAATGACCCCCCCCCCCCCCCACACACACACATGTAAGCTGTACCAAAAAGTACGTACAAATATCTCCCCCGTCTCAATGACCCCCCCCACACACACATATAAGCTGTACCAAAAAAGTACGTACAAATATCTCCCCCGTCTCAATGACCCCCCCCCCACACCCACACATATAAGCTGTACCAAAAAGTACGTACAAATATCTCCCCCGTCTCAATGACCCCCCCCCACACCCACACATATAAGCTGTACCAAAAAGTACGTACAAATATCTCCCCTGTCTCAATGACCCCCACGTGAAGAAAGACCAGGTTCTTGTTGGTCTCCCTCTGTCGTTTGATGAGGGCCGTCAGTGTTGTGGTATCGTTGAGGCCCAGTATGGCCCGCTGTCTCTCCCGTTCATGGCTCTTGTCCAGATAGACTTTCTGTGGAGATGTTTCACATAATAAACAGTTGAGTGTTGGTCTCATTGTGCACATCTCACATTATTATAACGTGGTTTTTAGAATTCTAATTTAAATTTTTAATACATTTTCTAATTCTGAATTCAATGTTTATTTACTGTATGTAATTATTTCAAAACATGTCATTTGGCGGACGTAATATTTTTACACTTAAGGAAAAAAAAAACAACAACAAATGAACAAGACAGGAGGAAATAACCGAACGACAAACAGAAAAAAGGAAGATAACCGAATGACGAAAAAAAAAAAAGATAACAAAATGTAAACAAGACAACGATAACAGTAGGACAACAAAACAGGGGCAGATAACTAAACGGCACCCAGAAAGGGGGAAATAACCGAACGACAAGCAGACAAAGGAAGATAACAGATTAAAAAACAAGGGAAGATAACCAAACGGCAACCAGACAGGGGAAATAACCAAGATGATACCTTGTTGGTGTGGACGTAATCCAAGCCGAGAGAGGAGAGCAAGTTTTCCTTCATATCTCCATCGTCCACAGTCTGGTTCGAGTGCTCGTGTTCTGTCGGTTACAGGAGGGATATATTGGTACCACAGCCACATCCACATCCACAGCATGATTTATTGGTGCCACAGCCACAACCACAGCCACAGCTACACCCACACCCACAGGAGGATTTATTGGTGCCACAACCACAACCACATCCACGGCAGGATTTATTCGTGCCACAACCACAACCACACCCACATCCACAGCAGGGAATTATTGGTGCCCACACCCACATTACATTCACACACACCAGGATTTATTGGTGCCACACCCACAACCACACCCACAACAGGAATTACTAGTGTCATATCAAGCACTAACCACCCTTTCACGAATACACCAAGGAGCTATTACATGCATCCCCATCTGTAAGAAAAAGTATATTTTGGGCATATTTGGTGCCACCACCCCCACACCCATATCCACACACACACCACACACACACACATATCAGGATTTATTCCCGCCACACCTACAACTACATCCACACTCTGAGCTACCAACAGCAACCAGACATGTCTACATGTCTACACTACCAACAGCAACCAGACATGTCTACACTACCAACAGCAAACCAGACATGTCTACACTAGCAAACAGCAACCAGACATGTCTACACTACCAACAGCAACCAGACATGTCTACACTACCAACAGCAACCAGACATGTCTACACTACCAACAGCAACCAGACATGTCTACACTACCAACAGCAACCAGACATGTCTACACTACCAACAGCAACCAGACATGTCTACACTACCAACAGCAACCAGACATGTCTACACTACCAACAGCAAACCAGACATGTCTACACTACCAACAGCAACCAGACATGTCTACACCACAAACAGCAACCAGACATGTCTACACTACCAACAGCAACCAGACATGTCTACACTACCAACAGCAACCAGACATGTCTACACTACCAACAGCAACCAGACATGTCTACACTACCAACAGCAACCAGACATGTCTACACTACCAACAGCAACCAGACATGTCTACACTACCAACAGCAACCAGACATGTCTACACTACCAACAGCAACCAGACATGTCTACACTACCAACAGCAACCAGACATGTCCTACACTACCAACAGCAACCAGACATGTCTACACTACCAACAGCAACCAGACATGTCTACACTACCAACAGCAACCAGACATGTCTACACTACCAACAGCAACCAGACATGTCTACACTACCAACAGCAACCAGACATGTCTACACTACCAACAGCAACCAGACATGTCTACACTACCAACAGCAACCAGACATGTCTACACAACCAACAGCAACCAGGCATGTCTACACTACCAACAGCAACCAGACATGTCTACACTACCAACAGCAACCAGACATGTCTACACTACCAACAGCAACCAGGCATGTCTACACTACCAACAGCAACCAGACATGTCTACACAACCAACAGCAACCAGGCATGTCTACACTACCAACAGCAACCAGGCATGTCTACACTACCAACAGCAACCAGACATGTCTACACTAGCAAACAGCAACCAGACATGTCTACACTAGCAAACAGCAACCAGACATGTCTACACTAGCAACCAGACATGTTTACACTAGCAACCAGACATGTTTACACTAGCAAATAGCAACCAGACATGTTTACACTAGCAACCAGACATGTTTACACTAGCAACCAGACATGTTTACACTAGCCAACCAGACATGTTTACACTAGCAACCAGACATGTTTACACTAGCAACCAGACATGTTTACACTAGCAACCAGACATGTTTACCCTAGCAAATAGCAACCTGACATGTTTACACTAGCAACCAAACATGTTTACATTAGCAACCAGACATGTTTACCCTAGCAACCAGACATGTTTACCGTAGCAACCAGACATGTTTACCTTAGCAACCAGGCATGTTTACACTAGCAACCAGACATGTTTACCCTAGCAACCAGACATGTTTACATTAGCAACCAGACATGTTTACATTAGCAACCAGACATGTTTACACTAGCAACCAGACATGTTTACCCTAGCAACCAATACAACAGCTGTACCTGAAGCAGCAGCCAACAGCTGAAGAATCTCCTCCGACAGGACGACATCCGACCTGTTTTTCTCTTGCTCGGGCCCTTAGCCTCGGCATCCAGGGACACGCACCTGATGACCTGACACTTGCCCTGTCGATGACATCACGTGACTGTCTGAACCACAACTGGCACAACTAGGTTTTTTTCAACTTTTATTGGTTAACATTTGTAATTGTTAATCTACGTCCCATAGCTATGATCTAACTTGACTTGCAAGCGTTGTTGTGGAGCAAGCAGCTTTTGAGTTTAAATACAGAAACCCGACAATATTCCCCGGTATAGCTTTTGTTAAAAGTTAACTTGTGAAAAGATAAGTAGATTTTAACTAGGATAATAACAATCATCACAAAATTAAATAATTAGCCTAATAGAGCATTTTTCACGCTGAATTTTTGGAGTATGTTGAAAATTTTAATGAAAATTAATTAACCAAGTTTTTAAAAAAATTCAGAATTGTGATGAATGATATTTTCAAAAAAAAATCAACATTTAATGAGCGCTGTTAGGGGGGGTGGGGTTGGGGAGGGAGGGGGGGGGAAAGGGGGGAGCCGCTAAAGTATGACGACATTTTAAAAGTGGGGTGGGTGGGGGGTGGGAGATTCTGAATATTGTTGCTTATGTGTGACAATTGTGGGGGGACGTGCCGTAATTTATGACCGACCCTACACTCAGTGTCTCTTGTAGTACAAGATGGTGGTCGTGATCTGAGTTGATCTTGTACTGAGACAAAGCAGGACACCACACACCACACCACACACTTACCTCCATAGATCCAGTCCTCTGTTGGCCACAATCACCTTGTTGTACTGAGACAAACCACACACCACACACCACACCACACACCACACACTTACCTCCATAGATCCAGTCCTCTGTTGGCCACAATCACCTTGTTGTACTGAGACAAACCACACACCAAACCACACACCACACACTTACCTCCATAGATCCAGTCCTCTGTTGGCCACAATCACCTTGTTGTACTGAGACAAACCACACACCACACACCACACCACACACCACACACTTACCTCCATAGATCCAGTCCTCTGTTGGCCACAATCACCTTGTTGTACTGAGACAAACCACACACCACACCACACACCACACACTTACCTCCATAGATCCAGTCCTCTGTTGGCCACAATCACCTTGTTGTACTGAGACAAACCACACACCACACACCACACCACACACCACACACTTACCTCCATAGATCCAGTCCTCTGTTGGCCACAATCACCTTGTTGTACTGAGACAAACCACACACCACACACCACACCACACACCACACACTTACCTCCATAGATCCAGTCCTCTGTTGGCCACAATCACCTTGTTGTACTGAGACAAAGCAGACACCACACACCACACCACACACCACACACTTACCTCCATAGATCCAGTCCTCTGTTGTCCACAATCACCTTATTGTACTGAGACAAACCAGACACCACACACCACACCACACACTTACCTCCATAGATCCAGTCCTCTGTTGGCCACAATCACCTTGTTGTACTGAGACAAACCACACACCACACACCACACCACACACCACACACTTACCTCCATAGATCCAGTCCTCTGTTGGCCACAATCACCTTGTTGTACTGAGACAAACCACACACCACACCACACACCACACACTTACCTCCATAGATCCAGTCCTCTGTTGGCCACAATCACCTTGTTGTACTGAGACAAACCACACACCACACACCACACCACACACCACACACTTACCTCCATAGATCCAGTCCTCTGTTGGCCACAATCACCTTGTTGTACTGAGACAAACCACACACCACACACCACACCACACACCACACACTTACCTCCATAGATCCAGTCCTCTGTTGGCCACAATCACCTTGTTGTACTGAGACAAACCACACACCACACCACACACCACACACTTACCTCCATAGATCCAGTCCTCTGTTGGCCACAATCACCTTGTTGTACTGAGACAAACCACACACCACACACCACACACCACACACTTACCTCCATAGATCCAGTCCTCTGTTGGCCACAATCACCTTGTTGTACTGAGACAAACCACACACCACACACCACACACTTACCTCCATAGATCCAGTCCTCTGTTGGCCACAATCACCTTGTTGTACTGAGACAAACCACACACCACACACCACACACTTACCTCCATAGATCCAGTCCTCTGTTGGCCACAATCACCTTGTTGTACTGAGACAAACCACACACCACACACCACACACCACACACCACACACTTACCTCCATAGATCCAGTCCTCTGTTGGCCACAATCACCTTGTTGTACTGAGACAAACCACACACCACACACCACACACCACACACTTACCTCCATAGATCCAGTCCTCTGTTTTCCACAATCACCTTGTTGTACTGAGACAAACCACACACTTACCTCCATGCACGCATAGATCCAGTCCTCTAGACTGCTGTTGGCAACAATCACCTTGTTGATCTTGTACTGAAATAAAACACATACTCATTAGTGGCGCTGGATACATAAAATAACCATTTCGAACAGGCGGTCCGTGGGATAGATGAAGTAGAGTTCCCTCTTTTTGTGATCTCGGCATCTGAAGAAATAGTTTGGTCAGCACAATGCCCAGCCGCCTTTACTTTCCCTAACGTGAGTCAGGTAGCCATCAGTGCTGGGTAGACTTAGGGACATCCTACCGTCTCCAAGCCGTCCCAATGTCTTTGCCAATTCAGCGAGCTTTTACATTTAAGTCACGGTCAAAGAAATCCATTGAAATTTATTAAATTGGCTTCCTTTCAATATCTAGTTAAGATTTCTTCTTTCATTCTATCCTACTTGATGAAGCATCTGTTTCTGAGGGGGAAATGCTAGATGCTCTAATGGTGGCAGGGCCGGCGCTACCTATAAGACGAACTAGGCGGTCGCCTAGGGCGCCCTCCTAGGGGGGGGGGGGCGAAAAAGGTTTAATAGCTATTATCAAAAAGTTACTAATAATAAATAATTTTTATAAAGGAGTAGCGATCTATTTCGGCAATTATCAATTTTGCACCCCCACCCCAAAATAAGGTCTATATAGGCCATATTTATTAGCGATAGTGAAAATGCAACCTCACCTCCGTAATTTAATAAGGTCAGTGCGCTTTTTACCAGTCACTTTGCCTTTTTAATTTGGTGTCACATAATTCAAGTAGAAAACGATTAAATACGTTCGTAATTTAAATCAAATTTTAATAGGGCTTGTAAGTATTGTTTTCTCTGAATTTGAATTAGAAATCTGTCCTGGTGTATAGAGTTTTGTAATGACGGGGTGTTCAAAGTTTAGTACTTGTTTGAGAAGTATTGATGAATCGTTTAGATTTGGGAGTAACTGCGGAAGGCTGTTGCTGATATGGTTTCATAGGTATAAAGTATCGAAGTGTTATAATCTTTATTCCGCTGTTTTATAGTTGAAGGTCTAGTGGAATCTGATTGATAATAGAAAAATGAGAATGCAGGTGATGAAGTATCGTAGTTCTGGAGATCGGGAGTATTGATTCTTGTTGTATTAAGGTATCGAATTATATTGACTGTTAACGTGTAGTAGTAGGTCCAGTGAAATCGTTGTTGATTGGGAGTATCGTTTGTAGAGCTTGGTGAAGTTAAGCGAGTTGGTGTCGTAGTTCTGGAGCATCGAGTCTAGTTATGTTTAGGTATCGAAGTTTGATATGTGTTGTGAATTTAGTAGGGTAAATCGAGTATTCGAGTTTATCGTAAGTTAGATGATTTCAATTCAGTACGGAACACACTACAAAGAAAGGTTGGCGTTCTCTAGTTGAAAAAATCTTTAGTTTTTTAGGAATCTATATAACCACTCTTAAAGTATTAATATATAATATTATATAGGATGGAATTTATAACTAACCGTAAACTTTGTTTTTTCAAATTATAATTTTTTAAAATTTAATCAATAATTTTAATTTTACTATCGTCTAAAACAGTTACCCGTGTTTGATGTTTTGAAAGATGTCCCTTGTATTATTTTTTTTTTTTTTTTTTTTTCAACATTTATTTAGAATATACACCACAAAACTACTAAACATAAGCATGTGGGTTTGACATACACTGATGATATTGACAGAAATACAGACTAAAAACAGCAGAACATAGTTTTAAATTAAACTTCAAAATTGTTACATGACTCAAATGATATGGAAGAGTATTGAGTTACCCTTTGAACTAAATCTGAACTTGTGCCCTGATAACTGCATGTATTGGATACTACAAAATGCAACAAATAGCACATTAAAATAGACAGTTATTGAGTAATGTTAAATGATGATTCAGGCTGAAGAGAATGCATTTGGAAAAACATTTTGTTTTATAAATCCCTTCTCAATTTAGAGGTACCGATAGTTGTGTATTAATACTGGCTTTTAAGAAATTATTAAAAGGATTTTTTTCACCTATTTCAATACTAAGCAAAGAAATTATACCATGGAATATTATCAAGATTATAATAAAGCAAGTTAAATATTTCAACTAGTCTTAAAAAGAAGTGGAGTTTCTACAAAGTTGGATGTCTAAAATCCTATAGAAAAAGTGTATATTATCAGAAAAGGAATTTTTACTTATAGTTAGCACCAACCTATCCATGTTTTTAAAATTTCTATATTCTGTAAGTTTAAACAGCACTTAGGTCTTTTAGTTTATATTTGGATCTTTTTATTCCTAATTGAGGATGGGTATACATTAAACATTCAATGAAATTTTAATCTTAATTATTAGCATGAAATGTGTAAAAGCAATTCATAATCAGAAATAATGTCATGTTACAAAAGTTAACACATAATAACAAATAATGTATTTAATTTTTACAGTATGTTCTTCTATATCCTTAAAGAATATATATAAAACCTTAATTTAAAAAATACCAACAACTTTGCAAGTATTCTGCCTATAAAAGTTTGGGGAGGGAATAGAAAGGAACTAAGAATCAAAAGTATATAACATGCTGCAGTATTATTTTCTTTAAATAAAAAAAAATCTAACTGGCAACACTAAAAGTTGTATGTATTTGCAGACTTATTCTACTCCTAACAACTAAGGGTGATCAATATTTTTATGGATAATAGCTATAGAATAAATAAGTTTGAAATGCATCATTAAAAATTTAATAGTGTACTTATTTAAGCTAGTATAAATTTTCAATCAAACAAAGGTAAAAAAATGTTAGATACAATAAAATCAAGACCATTGTTCATCATGTCCCTTGTATTAGGGGATCCAAAATTTATCATTATCTAAATGTAACATAATATACTAACAATGCGATGTTATCAAAATTGAATAAAAGTATGTTATAATAAAGCTACCGTTTTCAGACTTTTAAACAAAACCTACAGTATTCAATGGGTAAAATATATTGTTTTCACAATATTACACAGTTAAAGAGTTGTTATCATTATAACGTAATGAAATTTAGAGCGTTTTATTTTGTTTTTCAAGCATGTCTTAGTTACACTTGGTGAATTCAGCTATTCTTGTGAAAGTTATTTCCCTTGAATAAAATATTTGCATTTTGATTTTCAATGGGAGATAATTCGATGCCTACCTTTACATTCATTTCAAATTCCTGCACCTTAGATTGACCGCTTACATATAAATACAATTTCAAGTTATTATTTGCTATTGTAAAAGTTATATACGGCTTAAGTTCTAAACAAAATAATTTGATAGGTTTTTTTTTAGCATTATCAAGTTGAAAAACAAATACATTAGTAGCCGTTGTAGATTGCAATAATGTTAGTAGACATACAGTCTTAGTCGTAAATTAAACATCTAATTTATTGTCTTTTCATATTTTTCACCCTCTCCTAATGGATTCATATATAAAAAATTTAGGTTGGAATCGGTAACATTTATAATCTTTTATTTAAAAAAAAAATCACACAATATAGACATTTTACAATTATAACTAAAGACAGTCAAGCTTAAAACAGGTAAGGTCCGTTTTGGAACTCACCTTGGGAGGACTGCAGAGAGCCCAACACTACAAGAACTATTTTTTCAGTGTTTTTTTTTTCCAGACCATTGGCGTTGCTAGGATTTTTGGGCCCCTATGCAAAAATTATCAGTGGGCCCCTTCATCAGCCGTTAGGCCAGTGGCGTCGCAAAGTCGGGTGTCACTTCGTAGTGTCACCCCCCTCCCAGGAAACAAAGCATATTATATATATATATATATATATATATATATATATATATATATATATATATGTGTGTGTGTGTATCGGCCTACATAGGCCTAAAATTTAAATATATGCCACATACTTTTACATGTCTAAGCTTTAATCATTGCAGATTTAATAGTAACGGTGTTTTTCTATGGTCTGCTTATAATACAGTTGGATGTAGCATTGTTTTCTTTATAGCTTACGTTTACTTCATGGTGTCACCCCCCCCCCCCCACCCCCCACCCCCTCTTGAAATAATTGTCGATTTGTACTTAAAAGACTATTTAACTTTAATTAATCACTAATGGATCTGGGAAAAAGGCATTTCATTCTAGAAATTTTGCAATTATTTTTGCCTTTGCTGTCACCCCCCTAAATGGTGTCACCAAAACCTTGTAGAATTTACTGTCAAAACTATGTTGTATCCAGCTAAAATAATAAAAGATTAGTGAGATTGGGCTGACACCTTGCCGAAAATGCAAAATTGTTGAGAACGATGGGGTGACACCTTTAACAAACGCACAGGGGAACATCCAAACTTGTGACGCCACTAACCATACACATTTTTAAAAAATTGCTGATGATTTATATAGATCTGTTTTGTTGTGTTTTTTTCATGCTTTTAATTTTGTAAAATGGCCAATAAGATCTATTTTAGCTTCTACTGTAAGTTCTATACTTAGGATGACAAAGATATTGACACAATGGACAATTTGTTTCATAACAAATTAACATCATCAAAATAAGATTTAAAAATCCTATCATAGATATCAAAATCTCCTTCTTGATCACCGTGAAATGTTAAAGAATGTTTAAACCAACTAGCGTACCCGTTCGCGTTGCTGCAATCTAGTCCTACATACCAGGGTAGCAAAACAATATGTAAAGGTTTCATCAACGCGTTACCAATTGTGTATTTGTAGTAGCGTGTCCTTGTGTTTCTAAAACTGTATCACTCCGTATCCCTATTGAATGGCGCTCATTAAAACAGATACCGTGACAACCGCCGGGGCGCCGGCAAATGCGCTTGTGCAGTTTGACCGCTGGATCAAGTACTAACGCTGTTCCGCTCTTCCGGACACCTAATCAACGGACCGCAGGTGCAAAGATAGTGGCTGGGAAACTGAGTGTCAAACCGCACCGCCTTACTGCCGAGCGTCGTTCTCCGAAATAAAATTTTAAAAATTAATTACAGAATTCTTCCCAAAAGTCAGAGTTTCGTTCATGCACCTTTTCAGAAAATATCTGGTATAAAAACACTGCCTGGAATATTCTCAACGACCTTCCAAAGTTTCTTGACGATTGGATGAAAACCAAAAGGTTATAGTGTTAGTGCCATATTGATTGAAGATTAATTAGATAAAAAAAATGTAATTATGGTAAAATTAGTAGAAAAACATTGATAAATCTTGAACACTGTCCATGGACCATGGTTGTTGTTTTAAAAAAAGGTTCAGTTGTTAACATTGATGTTTAGTAGGATCGAATTTCGGGGGAGGGCAAACAGTTGGGAGGGAGGGGCAGGTCTGTGTGGGGAAGGAGGATGGTGGTAGTGAAAATTCCAGTCAGAAGGTTTTTAGCACTGCATTTTAACTTACACAGTTCAAGTTTATTTATAGGCTGATTCTCTCAATGTCTTGCACGACAAAGTGATATCGCCTGTAGTGTTATAATAAAGAATGGGCTCTGTTTGACCCCCCCCCCCCCCACACACACACGCACACACTGAATCCCACTGCCCATACGGTAAACTTTTAACCTTTTTCTTTTTTAAAATTATTTATATAAATTCAAAATAATTATTATACTTCCATTGTAAAAGTTTTTATTTTTTATGAGGGAAAAGGCCCCTATGTGCCTTGGGCCCCTATGCCTTGCTTACGCTAGCTTTACGGTAGCTACGCCATTGTTCCAGACTCTTTTCTGGAGCACTTAAAATTTTCTAAGGGGGGGGGGGGGCTATGTCGTAAAGTACAAAGTAGATTCGTGGATTTAGCAACAATTTCAATAAAATGTGATTACGCTTGCAAAATGGAATTGAAGGAATTAGTACAGACTTTTAAGACGAAGGAGGCAAGTAAAATTTGATTTTGATGTCTACTTATAACGTATATGCAGTTGATAATAAATTAATATTATATCTCACTTTTAAATAATTGTTTTCTTATACATATGTTATAGTAAGCAATTTGTGTGAAAGGGGGCGTTTTAATAAGTTTTGCCTAGGGCGCTAAATAACCGGCACTGAATGATTGGGAACTTACCTCCTGAATTTGTGCATTCATACAGAGAGACTGGATGGCCTCAGGACTCCAAAAACTGGGAGAGAAGAGATCTAACGTGCTATCCCGGAGGAGAGGGGGGGGGGGGGAAGATTGTGATGTAAATTAATATTCAATTTGAAAACATCAAAATGTTAGCATTTGATTTTGTTAAAAAGTACAATGAAATAATTAGCTTTAGTATTAAACTTTAAATAGTTTTAAAAGTGTACATCTATCTGAAGATAAAATTATCGTTTTATTAGGGAATGTCTTATTTTAAAAAATATCAACGTGGAAAATTCACCTTAAAAATGCATGTTTTTCAGCTAGCTCCTTCTCAAAAATTTTCGGACAAACGCTGGCGAAGACATCCTTCTCGACCACCAGCAGCTCGCACTTCTCGCGTACGGAGATGGTTGCCGTACGGCGGATGTCTTGGAGCAGGGCCAGCTCCTGGGAGCAGGAAGAAATAATAGGAGCTGTTAATGGGAGCTGTCGATGGCTCTGTTCAAAGCGGTTCTCCGTGGTGGGGGGGGGGGGGGCTGTTAAAAGACTTGGCAATTAGTTTAAGGAGTGATCTTAATTTTAAAATCTTGGCATCATGATCTTATGAAATGACTTTCATAAATGTATTGTTGGTGAAAAAAAGACAAAAAGGATATCATTTCACATTACAATTCTACTGTTGTTATATTGCAGATCACATACAAATGCGAGAATTCTATTCAATAAATTGGCATTAGACTTCAAGGTATTTTAAGACTGATTTAAAAAAAAAAAAGTTTATTTTATTAAAACATAATATATGAATGTATAAAAAAAAACCCACAAATGTACAGAGTTCAACTTTTATGTGTTAATTAGGTTATTCAGAAAAACAAAGCCGTTTCGCTAAGTTTTTGAACTTCACAAGTTGAAGATGCGCAATGGAAATTTAATGCAGGTGTTGTTATGCGTCTGAGGGTTTAAAATTTTTTTTTTTTTTTTTGCACTAGGCAACGGGATGGGGCTAACACTCGACTCGCATACAGACCAGACAAAAACACAAGTGGTATGCCAAATTGGCTTTTCATTTTCAAATCAACAGACAGATCAGAAGCCGTTTCTATAATTAAAAAACAACTTTCTTCCGGCGCTTTTCAATGGGGAAGGTGCAGAAAATAGTGGGGAAAACTGTGAACCAGTAGCAACCGTAACCAGGTGAGGTAAACAGCTGTTAGGTGAAGCAGTTGGGGGAGTAAAAGTAGGCAAAAATACTGAACAGGTACAGTACTAGTGTACTTTAGTCAGGCTAGCTGGTACAGTACTAGTGTACTTTAGTCAGGCTAGCTGGTACAGTACTAGTGTACTTTAGTCAGGCTAGCTGGTACAGTACTAGTGTACTTTAGTCAAGCTAGCTGGTACAGTATTAGTGTACTTTAGTTAGGCTAGCTGGTACAGTACGTGGGTACAACACACACGTCTTACACAACACAACACAAACGTATTACACAACACAACACAAACGTATTACACCAATCACAAACGTCTTACACGAGTCACACAACACAAACCGTCTTACATACACAAGTCACACAACACAAACGTCTTACACCGAACGAGTCCCCTCGGGTCAGCATGGCTACCGTCCTCATGAAGGGCGTGCCGTCTAGACTGATGTCCTCGTAGTTGACAAACACCGACCCTGAGTAGATGAAGTAGAAGTTGACCCCAACATGGCCGCTCTTTAGTACAACCCGTCCCTCCTGTACCCTGGGGAATCACAAAGATCATCATAAGCTTCATCAGTTTTCTTGTCACAAAGATCATCATAAGCTTCACCCGTTTTTTGTGTCACAAAGATCATGTCATAAGCTTCATCCATCTTCTGGTCACAAAGATCATGTCATAAGCTTCATCCATCTTCTGGTCACAAAGATCATGTCATAAGCTTCATCCATCTTCTGGTCACAAAGATCATGTCATAAGCTTCATCCATCTTCTGGTCACAAAGTTCATGTCATAAGCTTCATCCATCTTCTGGTCACAAAGTTCATGTCATAAGCTTCATCCATCTTCTGGCCACAAAGATCATGTCATAAGCTTCACCCGTTTTTTGTGTCACAAAGATCATCATAAGCTTCACCCGTTTTTTGTGTCACAAAGATCATCATAAGCTTCACCCGTTTTTTGTGTCACAAAGATCATGTCATAAGCTTCACCCGTTTTTTGTGTCACAAAGATCATCATAAGCTTCACCCGTTTTTTGTGTCACAAAGATCATCATAAGCTTCACCCGTTTTTTGTGTCACAAAGATCATCATAAGCTTCACCCGTTTTTTGTGTCACAAAGATCATGTCATAAGCTTCACCCATCTTCTGGCCACAAAGATCATGTCATAAGCTTCATCCATCTTCTGGCCACAAAGATCATGTCATAAGCTTCACCCGTTTTTGTGTCACAAAGATCATGTCATAAGCTTCATTCGGCTTTTGTGTCACAAAGATCATGTCATAAGCTTCATCCGTCTTTTGTGTCACAAAGATCATGTCATAAGCTTCACCCATCTTCTGGTCACAAAGATCATGTCATAAGCTTCATCAGTTTTTTGGTCACAAAGATCATGTCATAAGCTTCATCCGTTTTTTGGTCACAAAGATCATGTCATAAGCTTCATCAGTTTTTTGGTCATAAAGATCATGTCATAAGCTTCACCCATCTTCTGGTCACAAAGATCATGACACAATGCCGACCAGTTTTTGTGTCACAAAGATCATGTCATAAGCTTCATCCGTTTTTTGGTCACAAAGATCATGTCATAAGCTTCATCCGTTTTTTGGTCACAAAGATCATGTCATAAGCTTCATCAGTTTTCTTGTCACAAAGATCATGACACATTTCCGACAAGTTTTTGTGTCACAAAGATCATGTCATAAGCTTCATCAGTTTTCTTGTCACAAGGATCATGTCGTAAGCTTCATCAGTTTTCTTGTCACAAAGATCATGACACATTTCCGACAAGTTTTTGTGTCACAAAGATCATGTCATAAGCTTCATCAGTTTTCTTGTCACAAAGATCATGTTATAAGCTTTATCCGTCTTCTGTTCACAAAGATCATGACACAATTCTGACCAATTTTTGTGTCACAAAGATCACCTCACCAAACTAATCAAATTTTTTTTGGTGAGAAATGTCTTGTGACAAATCGACCAGTTTTCTTGTCACAAACTCATGTCATAAACTAGTTCAGTTTTCTAGTGGCTCTTTTATAAAGTCAAGATTCTAACTGTTATGTAATCAATATTTCAAGTTATTTTAATATCAGGCAAGTCACGAACTCATTGGATCGTATTACTAGCAGGTAATTGCTAAACCATAACATTCGTTTGTGAAAGGCTAGAATTTACATATCCCCCACCTATATTTTATGTTTTAAGTCCCCCAACTCCATGGCCACTTCCCCTCACCCCACGCCTCTCTAGACCAAGCCAAATGCTCATCACCCCAATTCCCCCTCTACCCCATGACCAATGCCCCCCCCCCACCCGATTCCCCCTCTACCCCATGACCAATGCCCCCAAAATACTGACTTCTCTAGCGTGAAGGCCCTGCACAAAGACAGCTGCATCTCCTCTGTGAACTTGTCAAAGCTCTTCAGCCCCCTCAGCAGGGCGTGCAGGCGCCGACAGTGTTGCTCTGACCTTTGTTCCGGGGGGAGACTCAGGATGGTCAACGCCCAGTCCGGCACGTGCGCAATCACCTGCAAATACGTCACAATAACATTTCATTTAGATTGTTTTATCACCTGCAAATACATCACAATAACATTTCATTTAGATTGTTTTTATCACAATAACATGTCTTAATTTGTTTTTACCACCTTCAAATACACAGGATACAATTGTTGCATTGTGTGTATATGTCTAGATCAACTTGAGAAAACGGGATCCGGACAAAAGGCCGACATGGACAAAAGGCCGACACGGACCAAAGGCCGACACGGACAAAAGGCCGACACGGACAAAAGGCTGACAAGACAAAAGGCCGACAAGAACCCTACAACACTTAAAATGTTGTGTCATCAAATCTGTGTGTCTGATTTATGTTGTACCCTACACCACTTCGCACTTGTTAACATTTACACCTGAACCGTTAGATAATTACCACCAGTAAACCCCCAGAATCCCACCCATAAAACCACCGTTCCTGTACCTGTCGACCTCGCCCGTACCCTGCCCTAACCACTACACTCAGCGCCGTCTGAATTGATCAAGGGCAAGCACTCCAGCCTGAGCTAGAAATCATCGCGTCAATAAACGCCACGCAATTAATTACTCCGCGATGTTGCTTGCTTTAGGATTTTCCTTCACCACAAGACACAGGGCTGGTATTTCTCAAACATTCCATGGATGGCTTTTTTTTTAAATTTTACACATCAAATCTAATTACAAATTTGAAAGACTAAAATGCTATTTCAGTGTAAAGAATATAATATTTTTTGTTTAATTTATCAGAATATATTCAGAGAACCAACTATTAGAGATATTAAAGTCATATCATGATCCTTGCATCCCCTCGTAATTATTTCAATCTAGTTTTATGCCTTTTTACTTTATTCATGTATTTACTATATATATATATATATATATATATATATATATATATATATATATATATATATATATATATAAACTTTATTATCATAATATCATGTATTCAGAACATTATAAAACTAAAAACGAATTTATTATTTTAATGTCTAAGAGAACTCTATAGGAGGTAAGCTTTGGATATAGTTGTTTCATGGGGAGAATGTTTGATTTGAGGTGTCTCATTTTTTTCTGCATCATATAATATTATATTTAATCGCAAATTTATTGAAGCCCTAGTAATAAGTCCATACCCCCCCCCCCCCGCCACAATCCACCTCACCAAACAGAAGAAAGAAAATTCCCAGTTTTTTGCTGTGTGTTTTTTACTCCCCCAGATCCGGTCAACTCTCCGTGGAACAAAGAATCACCATTTTAAATTTTTTGAATTTAAATGTTTAAAAAAATTTAAATAAACCGTTTCGTGTTACGTATAAGTAAACAATTTTTAATCAATGAAAGTACACGCGAGAAAGACGTTTTACTATTGTACGTTTGTACTAGTTCCCTCAAGCCTATGATAAAACTGTTACACTGAAACAACAATGCTTACAATTAATAGCTGTATTCAAAAACAGTTTCTGAACAAATGGATGCATTCATTCTGCTGACTATTGTTAAATACATGATAGCATTTTCGTCCATTTGATTTGAACCTAGATTAAACCAAGATTAAAGAAGATTAAAGACTCTAAAAGCAATATTGTGTCGTAGATCAGGGACCGGGTTAACAAACAAGACATCAAGTGTCTGCTTGGTTGAAAAAACGACAAGACATGAAGTGTCTGCTTGGTTGAAAAAACGACAAGACATGAAGTGTCTGCTTGGTTGAAAAAACGACAAGACATTGTTACGACTCCCTTCTCTAATCCTTTCGAACTAGTCAGGGAATCGTAAACAAGAAGAAAAAGAAAAATAAAAATAAACGCCACTTCAGTAATCTCTATTTATTTCCACAAATTACGACACTTAAAGTTAACCCGCCACCAAAGTATAACAATCAGAAATATACACAAATAGCTACAAACAACTAAAGTTCTTAGCACGACTACCCTACTTATCCCTAACTGTCTAACTAGCCTAGGTCTACTACAGTACAGGCATCTCTTGGCTGTCCACTAGCTCACAGAGACGCCCCATGTCTGTCTCCTCTAGACCTAGCTATCCGAGACGAGTACGTCCGTCTCCGAGTGTCTAACTCGTGAGTCTCTGACTGAGTGTCCCTGAGTGTCCCTCCTCCTTAAATAACGGACTCACAAATGTCCAGGTGCGGAGCTAATTATGCACCAACACGTCCCACTCAAGCCTAACCTAATTAAATGTCGCCAACAGGTCTGGGGTACCTGATTACATTGTCAGACCCTGCTAATATACGTCCCCAGTCTGCCGTCTACCCCTCCTAAAATAGTCCAGTCGAGGTGCAGGAGTCTATGTCCTGACTTAACCTCTCGTACGGCTTTTCCCTACATTTACATACCTATTACAAGGCAGGCGATTCAGGTGAGAAGGGGGGGGGGTGTAACCCGCTAGCATCACCAATAACATCCCACCCTTTGTCTCTTTCACGACCTGCGCCAGTCCGTGGCATCTCTCATTACGGCCCGGCCCGACCACAAAAAGGGGGTTCACGTCGAGAGTTCCCCCCATCCATAAATCTCTAGGTGACACCCTAATTAACCCAAGTTCAGCCATGTCCAAAAAAGGTAAGATCCCCCTCATGGGATCGTCACAACATGAAGTGTCTACTTGGTAGAAAAACGAGAATCTGAAAACAGCTTTACTTGCTCTTTGTAATTTGTTTTTGTGTCGGGTAATGTTTCACCTTTGATGGGCATTCAGTGTTAATAAATTGGTTACATTTTGTTTTTGATGTATTAAAATAAGTTATAAAGTTTATACACATACGCCAATAAACTTCAATCGTTCTGAGGATCGGATCCAATGTGGATTTTGTTAGTGCGCATCCAATATGCATTGCTCCAAAATAATTAAATCTGACATAATAATTAGGATGATTTTTGATAAAATTTTCCTGGCAGTAGATAGCAGATGTTGGTGAAGATTTAATTATAGAGGCATTAGGATAACAACTTGAAGGGACAAACCGTCTTAGCTGAATTTATTAGACCTAAGAGAAGTGGCGAAAGACTACAGGTCAGGTTTCAGTATGTTGGTCCATAAAATTATAACTGAATGGCTTCTCTGCTCCTTCAAATATAACTCTAAAATATAGACTTTTAACCAAGACCCATAAAACATGATCCCTTAATCTAGACTCCCAAACATGACCCCTAAAATATAATCCTTCAATCAAGACCCTTAAAACATGACCCCTAAAATTTGACCCCTAAAAATGACCCCTAAAACATGACCCTTAAAACATGACCCCTAAAACATGACCCCTAAAACATGACCCCTCTAACATGACCCAGACGTGTCTGTTATAAGCTCTGGCTCAGATAAATCTTTCAGCGTTAATTAAAAGAGAGTGCCATTAAGCTAATTACCTAACACCACCTGAGTACGCATGTACACGCAGACCATGTGGCCGCACAGTTCACTTACGTGGTTATGTACACACTCAGGATTACCGTACACATGCATGCACGACGCCATGATCTATGTACACCATACACAGTTACACAGCTAGTACACAAACAGAATTACCGTACTTCATGCACTCAATGTGTACTCATACAGACACCGAGTTGATGCGATTTCTCAAACTATTTTAAGAAAATTAATCAAGCGGTTTTCCCTGTCCAAAAAAAGCTAGATAAATTCAATAAAAAATGTCAGGTCGTGCAGAAGAGAAGAATCAATATTTTGTTGAGAAGAGTGAAATAAATAGGATCTTGTAACACGAACCTATGCAGGTTAGATCAGACATCAAGAGGAGGGAAGAAAGCAATCATATCAAACATACAAGTCGGGCTCTCTAGCTATCTTAGCACTATAGTCATAGCACGCAGAATAGTCAGAGCACACAGTCATAGCACACAGAATAGTCATAGCACACGTCATAGCACATAGAATAGTCGTCATAGCACACGTCGTCGTCATAGCCCACAGAATAGTCACAGCCCACAGAATAGTTATATACAGCCTACATTATGGAAGTTCGTGGCCGGGTGGTAGAGTGCATGCATGCTAACAAAAAAAAATCAAATGTTCGGATCCCTAATACTTAAGACGTCCTATATCCACTCTGATGCGTGCAAGACACTAAGGCGGGTAAACATAGAACTGACATTATGCCGAGGTCACTGTAATAGTTGCACTCTACTTCACCTACTCTATTAGTCTGTAAGGGTAACTTAAGTTTACCTTTGACAGCGCCTTACAATATAAATCATTACACATGTAACTGTAGCTAAAATGACACATACACATAATATACCTACATGCAACTGTAGCTAAAATGACACAAACACATAATACATACAACATGCAACATACATATGTACATAACCAAACACATAAACACACACTCAGCCCTTAGTAGCCATACCCTCATCAGCCCCAGCTCTAATTATGTAGAACATGCCATAAGCTCATTAGCGAGGCGAAAGTAATCCACTCTACGTTCACAGCAGATAAACACTTAGGCGGATTTCAGTTTTAAAATTCCACCCCATGCTTCCAATAATCGCTGTTCTGATTGACTTAAAATTCCACCCCATGCTTCCAATAATCGCTGTTCTGATTGACTTAAAATTCCACCCCATGCTTCCAATAATCGCTGTTCTGATTGACTTAAAATTCCACCCCATGCTTCCAATAATCGCTGTTCTGATTGACTTAAAATTCCACCCCATGCTTCCAATAATCGCTGTTCTGATTGACTTAAAATTCCACCCCATGCTTCCAATAATCGCTGTTCTGATTGACTTAAAATTCCACCCCATGCTTCCAATAATCGCTGTTCTGATTGACTTAAAATTCCACCCCATGCTTCCAATAATCGCTGTTCTGATTGACTTAAAATTCCACCCCATGCTTCCAATAATCGCTGTTCTGATTGACAGCCATTTTCAAGACGGCACTATTCGCGTCTGCTAGTATTTTCAGGGGATTTAACTCTGTTATTTCCCTGGGAATGATTGCTGGAGAAGTATAAAGGTCATTGCTTTAGTCCCCTCCCCCCGCATTTCCCCGTCCCTAGCTATTGTCTGCCACTCACCCAGCCTAAGTATCTGTAAGTGCTAACTTAAAATTTTTGCATCAATTTTGTGTAGCAGAATGCTGCCATCTGTTATTAGTCTGACACGACGCTTGCATGAGTGTTTATCAAAAATGCTGCCGTCTGCTGTTAGCGTGACATAAAGCTTCCCGGAAGCTCCCTAGGGGTTGGGGGGGGGGGGGGGGGAGAGGATGGTGGCCAAAAGTTGCTGTTTTAAATTTATCAAAAGGATGAAACGATCAGACCACAATATCTACACCAGTCACCAAATTGAAATTTTAATGCCTACATACAACTTTCTAACCTAAACTTTTAGAATTTTAAAAAGGCCTACATACAACTTCCTAACCTAAACTTTTACCAACTGGGTTTACACCATCCGACAAGTCACTTCGTCTGTTAAGAATTTATTTCAGCCGGTCAATGCATGTTTTGCTTTATTTTTTGGATATCGTGCGGACGTGCAAGATACGATCTCACAATTGTGGACAATTTTTTATCACTCTAAATCTTGTCCACTAATACGATTTCACACACACTGCCCCTATAGGTCAAATTGTCCACTCTTTCTGAAAAACGAAAATGTCTACTGTCCCTATAGAAGAAAATGTCCACTCACCCTATATAAAAAATGTCCACTCCCCCTACATAAAAAATGTCCACTCCCCCTACATAAAAATGTCCACTCCCGCTACATAAAAAATGTCCACTCACCCTATATAAAAAGAAAATGTCCACTCACCCTATATAAAAATGTCCACTCACCCTATATAAAAAGAAAATGTCCACTCACCCTATATAAAAATGTCCACTCCCTCTATATACAAATGTCCACTCACCCTATATGAAAAGAAAATGTCCACTCACCCTATATAAAACTGTCCACTCACCCTATATAAAAATGTCCACTCACCCTATATAAAAATGTCCACTCCCCCTGTCCTATAAAAAAATGTCCACTCACCCTATATAAAAAGAAAATGTCCACTCACCCTATATAAAAATGTCCACTCACCCTATATAAAAAGAAAATGTCCACTCACCCTATATAAAAATGTCCACTCACCCTATATAAAAAGAAAATGTCCACTCACCCTATGTAAAAATGTCCACTCACCCTATATAAAAAGAAAATGTCCACTCACCCTATATAAAAATGTCCACTCCCTCTATATACAAATGTCCACTCACCCTATATAAAAAGAAAATGTCCACTCACCCTATATAAAAATGTCCACTCACCCTATATAAAAATGTCCACTCACCCTATATAAAAAGAAAATGTCCACTCACCCTATATAAAAATGTCCACTCCCTCTATATACAAATGTCCACTCACCCTATATAAAAAGAAAATGTCCACTTCCCCTGTCCTATATAAAAATGTCCACTCCCCCTGTCCTATATAAAAATGTCCACTCCCCCTGCCCTATAAAAAAAATGTCCACTCCCCCTGTCCTATATAAAAATGTCCACTCCCCCTGTCCTATATAAAAATGTCCACTCACCCTATAAAAAAATGTCCACTCCCCCTGTCCTATATAAAAATGTCCACTCCCCCTGCCCTATAAAAAAATGTCCACTCCCCCTGTCCTATATAAAAATGTCCACTCCCCCTGTCCTATAAAAAAATGTCCACTCACCCTGTCCTATATAAAAATGTCCACTCCCCCTGCCCTATAAAAAAAATGTCCACTCCCCCTGTCCTATATAAAAATGTCCACTCCCCCTGTCCTATATAAAAATGTCCACTCACCCTATAAAAAAATGTCCACTCCCCCTGTCCTATATAAAAATGTCCACTCCCCCTGTCCTATATAAAAATGTCCACTCACCCTATAAAAAAATGTCCACTCCCCCTGTCCTATATAAAAATGTCCACTCCCCCTGCCCTATAAAAAAATGTCCACTCCCCCTGTCCTATATAAAAATGTCCACTCCCCCCTGCCCTATATAAAAATGTCCACTCCCCCTGTCCTATATAAAAATGTCCACTCCCCCTGCCCTATATAAAAATGTCCACTCCCCCTGTCCTATATAAAAATGTCCACTCCCCCTGTCCTATATAAAAATGTCCACTCCCCCTGTCCTATATAAAAATGTCCACTCCCCCTGCCCTATATAAAAATGTCCACTCCCCCTGTCCTATAAATAAATGTCCACTCCCCCTGTCCTATTAAAAAATGTCCACTCCCCCTGCCCTATATAAAAATGTCCACTCCCCCTGTCCTATATAAAAATGTCCACTCCCCCTGTCCTATATAAAAATGTCCACTTACCCTGTCCTATATAAAAATGTCCACTCACCCTGTCCTATATAAAAATGTCCACTCCCCCTGTCCTATATAAAAATGTCCACTCACCCTGTCCTATATAAAAATGTCCACTCCCCCTGTCCTATATAAAAATGTCCACTCACCCTGTCCTATATAAAAATGTCCACTCACCCTGTCCTATATAAAAATGTCCACTCCCCCTGTCCTATATAAAAATGTCCACTCACCCTGTCCTATATAAAAATGTCCACTCCCCCTGTCCTATATAAAAATGTCCACTCCCCCTGTCCTATATAAAAATGTCCACTCCCCCTGTCCTATATAAAAATGTCCACTCACCCTGTCCTATATAAAAATGTCCACTCACCCTGTCCTATATAAAAATGTCCACTCTCCCTGTCCTATATAAAAATGTCCACTCACCCTATACAAAAGAAAATGTCCACTCACCCTGTCCTATTAAAAAAATGTCCACTCACCCTGTCCTATAATTAAATGTCCACTCACCCTGTCCCTAGAAAACAGATACTTGTTGAATGCCAGCAGATCGTCCTGTTTCTCCGAGTAGACGGCCATCCACTGGAGCTCGGTCGCTGACCTCATCGTCTTCTCGTTACAGTTGGCAATGATGACCAGCATCAGACGCCGCAGGTAGATGGCGATGTACCCAACCATGCGGAACCGGGACAGGGCCTGACAGAACAAACGGAAGTGAGACAAATCTTTACTGCCACTAAAGGGACGTAAAGATTTTCACTAACACTAGAGCCACCACACACAGATCTTTACTGCCATTATAATCACACAAATCTTACACAAAACTTTTCTTAAACAAAAATCTTCACAACTACTAGAACCACACAAAGATCTTTTTACTCAAACATCTTCTATCATAAAGATCTTCACTACGACTAGAATCAAAGGTCTTCACAACCACTAAGACAACACAGAGATCATCTTACACAAAGATCTTCTTACACAGAGATCATCTTACACAAAGATCTTCTTACACAGAGATCTTCTTACACAGAGATCATCTTACACAAATATCTTCTTACACAAAGAACATCTTACACAAAGATCTTCTTACACAGAGATCTTCTTACACAGATATCATCTTACACAAATATCATCTTACACAGAGAACATCTTACACAAAGATCTTCTTACACAGAGATCTTCTTACACAGAGATCATCTTACACAAATATCTTCTTACACAAAGAACATCTTACACAAAGATCTTCTTACACAGAGATCATCTTACACAAAGATCTTCTTACACAAAGATCATCTTACACAAAGATCTTCTTACACTAAGCACAGAGATACCGTGTCGACTCTGCTGTCTGCCATCATAGCCTGCCCTTGGGGTCCTACTTAAATGTCCTGTAGGACTAATGTCCTTAGACTGAGGACTGGCAGATACCGCCCGTCTCTGCAGATAGATGTCTCTTAATCGTCCTTCCAAGTATCTGCAGATAGGAAACATTATTCAACATCACACCTTTACACTGCAGTCAACATCAAAGAACATCATTTAAATTCAGACCACATCATCAGCATCCAAAAACATTTACACAGCCAAAATTTAAAATAAAAACATCATTTAATCTTAGTCAACATCACAAAACATAATATAAACTCAGCGAACATGATCATCATCAAAAATATTTAAACTCAGCCAATAAACATCATTTAAACTTAGTCAACATTATCAAATTCACAAAACATTTTTTAATTAAAACAGTGAAATCATTAAAAAAATATTTAACAAAACAGTTTGAGTTTTAACGTAATATAAAAAATGCGCTAGACAATAATTACACCAACAATAAGTTCATTATAAAACCAACAAGAACGTAATTAAAGTACGGCTGGAGAGGGTACATCCCCCCCCCCTGCCATACTGTCCATCAGATGCGTCGAGTGAGGTACTAAGGTATCCGTCAACATTTCCAGGCCACTCAATGAACAAAAGGTCAGAAGGTCACGAATTCCTGACCAACTCTTTTGTTTACGTCTCTACGGGAGGTAACTCTTGACTTTATACGAGCATTATCTCCCTTTCACGTAAACATTCTATGCTTCTTTCCATCCATCCGTCAATCTATCCGAAAGTTTGTCTTCCATTATCTGTTTATCACCCCCCATCTTATCTACCTATCAGGTTATCTATCCATTAATCTACCGGTTAGAAGCTATCTTTCAATCTTTTATTACATCTATACCCAGGCTATCTGCCTATTTGTAACTATCATCTAATTTTGTATTATCTATTCCTCAGTCTATCTGCCAGTTATCTGCTGTATGTAGTACACCGTATCTGATGTGTACAGTATCAGTCTGTCGTGTACCGTATCTGTTGTGTACCGTATATGTTGTGTACCGTATCTGTCGTGTACCGTATCTGTCGTGTACCGTATCTGTCGTGTTCCGTATCTGTCGTGTACCGTATCTATCGTGTACCGTATCTGTCGTGTACCGTATCTGTCGTGTACCGTATCTGTCGTGTTCCGTATCTGTCGTGTACCGTATCTGTCGTGTTCCGTATCTGTCGTGTACCGTATCTGTCGTGTACCGTATCAGTTATGTACCGTATCTGTCGTGTACAGTATCAGTCTGTCGTGTACCGTATCTGTCGTGTACCGTATCTGTCGTGTACCGTATCTGTCGTGTACCGTATCTGTCGTGTACCGTATCTGTCGTGTATCGTATCAGTTATGTACCGTATCTGTCGTGTACAGTATCAGTCTGTCGTGTACCGTATCTGTCGTGTACCGTATCTGTCGTGTACCGTATCTGCCGTGTACCGTATCTGTCGTGTACCGTATCAGTTATGTACCGTATCTGTCGTGTACCGTATCTGTCGTGTACCGTATCTGTCGTGTACCGTATCTGTCGTGTACCGTATCAGTTATGTACCGTATATGTCGTGTACCGTATCTGTCGTGTACAGTATCAGTCTGTCGTGTACCGTATCTGTTGTGTACCGTATCTGTTGTGTACCGTATCTGTCGTGTACCGTATCTGTCGTGTACCGTATCTGTCGTGTATAGTATCAATCTGTCGTGTACCGTATCTGTCGTGTACAGTATCAGTCTGTCGTGTACCGTATCTGTTGTGTACCGTATCTGTTGTGTACCGTATCTGTCGTGTACCGTATCTGTCGTGTACCGTATCTGTCGTGTACCGTATCTGTCGTGTACAGTATCAGTCTGTCGTGTACCGTATCTGTCGTGTACCGTATCTGTCGTGTACCGTATCTGTCGTGTACCGTATCTGTCGTGTACCGTATCTGTCGTGTACCGTATCAGTTATGTACCGTATCTGTCGCGTACCGTATCTGTCGTGTACCGTATCTGTCGTGTACCGTATCTGTCGTGTACCGTATCAGTTATGTACCGTATCTGTCGTGTACCGTATCAGTCTGTCGTGTACCGTACCAATCGGTTTACCCATCATTATATCGACATGTTTTGCATCTTCCCGCACTATTGAACCATTCCGTCTAACAGCTAGGCCAAAAAAAAAATTATCAGCGATAATTTCGTTAAAAGTGTGTTGTTTAAAACAGCATGTGTCACTCTACACGACACCCCCCCCCCCCCACACACACACACAACTCCTGAACAACCTCCCCCCACACACACAACTCCTGAAATGTAATCACGTGGAGGCTCCGGTTGTCGTACATTATTGATGCTGTTTGTGAGTGAAGAAAAAACAGATCTATAAAATAACGGAGGTTTTGTTTTGTCGTGTCCGCCTATTGTGTGGCTATAGAGTGACGACACCACATAAACTGTGGGGGCTCAGGGTTTCACTTACCCACATGTGGCGAAACAGGAGTACAGGATGGGGGAGGGGGGAAGGATATTGCGTAATTTACAGAAGATGAAATGTCTGGTTCAGGCACTTGGGAGAGGAATTGTAGACAATATAGTCTAAATATTCTTTGAAGCAACCATACACCGTAAGTGACGTCATGAGAGAATTGTGAGGTCATACATTGCTCTGGTCATCAAATAACTGACCGCTGTTAAATACAATGTCACCTGGGATTGAGCTTTTCACCACCAACTAAATCGGATTACGGTGAAGGTATCGATTTTAGGATTTAAGTTATTTCTAACTAATGATTTAACGGAATAGTAACGTTTCTTAAATCACAACAATTGCTTGGCTAGAGTTAGCCTTAGTAAAAACCCGTTTGGTGTTGGTAGAGGATGGCACCCTCCCCTGAATTACCTACCACATAATGTTACCGTATATCTTCCTTTAAAGCCACGAGTCTACAAGTGACGGACACAGCTGTTGTCGTTAACTCACCGTTTGGCCTTGATGGTGTTGTAGACGGCACTGAGAGGACGGTAGCGCCACCTCCTGACTGCTGCTTCTGCTGATGCGTCACGTGGTTCAGCAGACGGACAACCGGAAGTCCTGCTAGAGGCAGACATTGTTGTCGCTCTTGAATATCTCGAGTGCGCCGTCTGAGGACGCGCCGAGCCAGTTTTGATGTAGATCCCTGCCCGTGCAGGATCGGATCCGTCCCACGCCGACTCTACGATAGACGCCATGCTGGGGCGGCAGTAGGTGGGGGTGTTTGACCTGTCCGGCAGTTTATGGGCGTGGCCGTTTTTACGCCAGTCTTTTGGGTTAGCCGTACCCGCGTCATTCACAGGAGAAGTGTCGTGTGCAGAGTTTACCCTAGAGCCTGGCAAAGTTGCCACCCCTGACACCGTGGCACCTGACGAACAGACACCCGGCAACGTGGCACTTGACAGATTAGCAGACGATAAACTGACACTTGACTTGCCAACACATTCGTTGAGCGAGGACTCGATCACGTGACCGTAGTGGTCAATAAAAGCCGGTTTTTGTCCCGTGTTGAACAGCTCTCGTGAGGTGGCGGTCTTGACGCGACGCGTGCCGGTGAGATTCGAACCCACGACCTGGAGGTTGTCAGATAGCTGCCGGCTGAAGTGGGGATTGCGCAGTCGTCTGCTGGTGATCCACACGTGAGGGGAGTTATCCATGTTGAGGTCGTGTGGAGGGGTGAGCTGTTGGTGGATCGTGGCTGGTGGATGTCTGGTGGAGGCAAGGGCTCATTGGTAGCTGATGGATGTTGTACGGTGGATGTTGGCTGGTGGTTGATGGATGTTGTACGGTGGATGGTGGCTGGTGGATAGGACAAGATGTTGTTAGCTAAAATACTTTAACTGGGAAGAATGTAGAAGAACAAAAAAAAATCATAGAAAAAGAATGTTTTAACAATGTGCATGTAAAACATAACAAAGTTGAACGTCAGCAAAAATGCTTTGAGTTATAGAGTAATTGTTATTTTACGCTTATAACAGCAAGGATATTAATTAAATGCATCCTTCTTTGATCTCTCAAATACCTGCCAACATATTTAAACCAATTGTATAACCGGCATGCACTTCTCTCGGTACTACTTAACAGACCGACAGAAGAGAGAAACGGCACCAAAAAATTGTTGACAGAGAAGCTAGGACAAGTGTGATTGGCATCAGGCTGACATTTACAACCATAAAACTATATCCTAATGTTTTGATTCACTCGCTTGTTGGCTACTGAGTCTCGTGACTACATTGTCGTTGATCTATTTTTGTTTATGATTCGTTCTTAAGACTGGTGTATAAAGCAGTAAGCATGGTTTAATTGACCAGTCATAAAACTTGTGTTTAATTTATAAGATCAGTCATAAAACTTGTGTTTAATTTATAAGATCAGTCATAAAACTTGTGTTTAATTTATAAGATCAGTCATAAAATTTACGTTTAGTTTATAAGCCCAGTCATAAAACTTACGTATAGATTATAAGACTAGGTTTAGACTTACGTTGTTGTAATACAATACAACAAGACAATGAATCCTGTTTTCATTATTTTCTTTAAAAAATAATTATAAAATAATTGTGGATTAGCGACGGGACAAGCACGTGAATATGGATAAACGTAAATATCTATAGCCAAGAAGAGGTGAAGAATCGCCATAAACCATTGGCATTAATGTCCCTACAGCAACTAGAATTATAATCAGCCCAAATCAACAACAACGCTAAACATGATAAAATAAGTTTACAAAATTTCTATAAGATATTTTTTATCGACAAAATTGTACCTGTTGAGGAATAAACAAAAAATAGTAGTTTCCAATGAACACGATGCACTAAGTTTATATATTAATCAAAACTAGTACATAACTACTAACGCCCTTAGCTATAATTACCAACGCGACTTTGAACCAGTAAACTAAAAAAACATTGAGTCAGAGACTAACGGGACCATGAAAAGACTTACAGTAACTGTGATTAGCGTCCTAGTTCAAGTCGAGTATTGCAATTCATGTTTATTGCTGAAGATTAGAATAAAAGTTTGTGCGTCGGTCCTTAGACCTCTACACCCTTCCACTGGCTTAGGAACACCGGCGTCGCAGCATGGAGCTGATCGAACACCGTGTGAGATCAAAGCCGGCTTATCTCGGCCCGGCTAGCACTGGATTTGTTTGTTCAATAACTTATTGATTTCTTACCCAACATATCAGACACATTGAAATAGTCAAATTTCAATTCCACTTCTCGACGCTTATAGACAAGAGATTTCTTTTCAACCCGGACCGTTAACTTTGTGCATTATGACAGTATAGATTTTCCTTTCGTTCGTATCACGTGACGCTGATCTCTGCTGCTGTCGCAGGCAGGTAGGTTACAGGTAGGAAAGTCAGGAATAACAGAGTTTCTGTGTGCACGGAGGTTGTGTAATTAAAAGTTTTATAAGGGAATGAAAGCGAGAAGGTGGGGATAGTTCATATACAGGTTGTTCATGGTAAGCAATTAGCGGAGGGCATATTAGGTGAAGGAGTGGGGTTAATGTGGTCTTTTGTTTTTGTGTGGGGAATTTGTTTCTGTGTGGGTTAGTGTGATAGTTTGTCTCTGTGTGGTGTAATGTGGTCGTTTGTTTCTGTGTGGGGTTAGTGTGATAGTCTGTCTGTGTGTGGGGTTAATGTGGTCTTGTGTTCCTGTGTGGGGCATTTGTTTTTGTGTGGGGAATATGTGGTAGTTTGTTTCTGTGTGTAGCTGGTTTAATAGTTTGGATCAGTGTAATACGATCGTAGACATTGAGTTTAATGCTACGTTGTTATTCAGCTAAATTCAGCGTGATTGATGATGTACCTCACTAATCTAACTGGTGTCAGCCTAGATGATACAAACCTTGAGAGCCCGCTGTGACTTGATCACCTCAGCACCGGGTTCTAATCCACCCAGCACTAACACTTTACCCTATCTCTTCATTACCAGGCTAATCACTCCCTCTCCACTAAACGATTACTTAACCACTCCACACTTCCCTAGACCCGGTACCTCCCGGCATTTTTCTTATCCCAGCCCATGATATATCTCTCTGTTTGACAGGTACCCAATTATTGTGGCCAACTTAATAACAGCTTTCAACGTTCAGCGCCCCCCCCCCCCCCCCACTGTTTTCACACTTCAACACATTCGGCATTAAAGGAATTTTTCCAGGGGTGTTTGGCTGAACTTGGCACCGGTTATCTCAAATGTTTTTCTTCTTCAAATGTGTCTATTCAAACAACTAACAGTAATGACTTGACACTTTATTGTCTTATAAAGCTATTTTTCGCATGAGGTAACGGCTATTGTGGTTAAATCATGCCGTCAAACTCAATCGGCTAAACACACGTCTGTATCTAGACAGCAGAGTGGGTGAATTCAGATTATAATTAGAACAGTGGGTGACCTCACGTTATGTATGGTGATCTTAGGTTATAAGAGGTGACGTCACGTCATGAGTGGTGACCTCACGTTATTAGTGGTGGCATCACGTTATGAGTGGTGACCTCATGTTATGAGTGGTGACCTCATGTTATGAGTGGTGACCTCATGTTATGAGTGGTGACCTCATGTTATGAGTGGTGACCTCATGTTATGAGTGGGTGACCTCACGTTATGTGTGGTTGACCTCACGTTATGTGTGGTTGACCTTACGTTATGTGTGGTTGACCTCACGTTATGAGTAGTGACCTGGTACAAACGATTCTTGACCTCACACAAACCTCACACACTGTGTGATCTTTCTGTAGACAATCCCCCGTCCCCCAGCCTTAGGTAGACAATTCCCCGTCCCCCAGCCTTAGGTAGACAATTCCCCGTCCCCCAACCTTCTGTAGACAATCCCCCGTCCCCCAACCTTCTGTAGACAATCCCCCGTCCCCCAACCTTCTGTAGACAATCCCCCGTCCCCCAGCCTTAGGTAGACAATCCCCCCCCCCCCCACCCCAGCCTTAGGTAGACAATCCCCCGTCCCCGTGCCTCTACTTTTAGCTCGGTATTTTGTCATTGTCAGCATCGATCGCTTTGAGGGGGCCGTAAGAAACAATCCACCCGAACGCTCGCAAAAGAGGAACTGTTATATTTTATTGGAAACTTTATTGTTTTCCCCCATAGAATAATGGCAGTTGATGACTGGGTGTTTAGTTCACGTCTGCTGGCTAGAAGATCTCTCTAGGACACCCCACAGTTCTGCTGAGACAATGCAAGTCTTGTAGCGTGTCTGGGACCCATTAGAGACCCCACGCTCTGGTGGTCGGGTGATAGTTTCATTCAGTTGAACCTGAACGTCTATCTACCTGGGTGATTTATCACAGTAAGTTTTAACACAGCATTGAAATCTATCCCGATGCTTATTCAAGTAGCTCTTATCGCCTTGTATGGCTATAAAATAATCATGATCACAATACATAATTATAAGAAAATCATGATCACTATGTATAGAGTAAAACAAAAAAATATGATCACGGTGTATGTGTATGGTTATGTTCTAGTCTGGGTAACCAAGTATTTCAACTAGGTTGTATTGCTGCCATGAGTTTACTCAGCTTTAAAAGATACCTATCTTCAGTCTGGAAGATTGATAGCGGTAGTGCATCGACCCGCCCCAGTGATCCCTTCTTAAACCCCTCAAACTGAATCAGATCAACTCACTTCACCCGCATTGACCTGAGGTCACACAGCGTACCCAACACATCTATTTTTAGATATTTAAATTTCCCCCACTAATGACCAATTAAGTGGACCAGGTGAAGTGGTCGATGCTGGACCGATGATTAGACCAAAGTTCTGTGACAGTGGAGCCATTGATTGAATCAGCCGGAGCCACCAGGGGGAGCCCGCTAATGCCACGTGTAGAGCGCGAGAACTTAATTGGATACAGGCACCATCATGGGATTGCCATCCTGGCTTCTGCCAGACTTTCATTAGCGCACAAGGACTGATTGGTGACACAGGGACTGATTGGTGACACAAAGACTGATTGGTGACACAGGGACTGATATGATTGGTGACACAGGGTCTGATTGGTGACACAGGGACTGATTGGTGACATAGGGACTGATTGGTGACACAGGAACTGATTGGTGACACAGGGACTGACTGGTGACACAAGGACTGATTGGTGACATAGGGACTGATTGGTGACACAGGGACTGATATGATTGGTGACACAGGGTCTGATTGGTGACACAGGGACAGATTGGTGACATAGGGACTGATTGGTGACACAGGAACTGATTGGTGACGCAGGGACTGATTGGTGACACAAGGACTGATTGGTGACATTGGGACTGATTGGTGACACAAGGACTGATTGGTGACACAGGGACTGATTGGTGACACAAGGACTGATTGGTGACACCGGGACTGATTGGTGACACAGAAACTGATTGGTGACACAAGGACTGATTGGTGACACAAGGACTGATTGGTGACACAGGGACTGATTGGTGACACACGGACTGATTGGTGACACAGGAACTGACTGGTGACACAGGGACTGACTGGTGACACAGGAACTGACTGGTGACACAAGGACAGATTGGTGACACAGGGACAGATTGGTGACACAGGGACAGATTGGTGACATAGGGAAAGATTGGTGACACATTTTAAAACCACCAAATCTAAAATCTCGGACGACGCGGGCACATTTTTAAACTCACCAAGTCAAAAGTTTAAAAAAAAAACGTCGATCTTGTTTTATGTTGGGTTTTTATTTTTGTTATCATACCAATTTTAGTTTTGTGTACGGGTCAGAGGCGTAGTGAGGGCGGGGCCGGGGATGCGGACCGCACCGGGTGACACCATTTAGCGGGTGACACCAAGGCAAAAAATTGCAAAATGTTCAGAATAAAAATGCTTTTTTCCAGTCCCATTACAATTAAATAGTCTTTTAAGTACAAATGGAAACATTATAACAAGCGGGTGAGGGTGACAACATGACGTAAATAGAGAAATCAATGCTACAGCCAACGGTATTATTAACATATATATATATATATATATATATATATATATATATATATATATATATATATATATTTATATATATATATATTTATATTTATATATATAATATATATAAAATATATATAATTAATATAATTTTTGTCTTAGGTGGGGGGGGGTGGCACAGGGAAGTGCCGCTTCGGGATACACCCGACATAGCGACGCCACCTGTACGGTTATAATTAATTCGGTTAATTAATTAAGTGCTATGGCCTAGAGTAGATAGTTCCAGGTTTTAGTGTGTTAGCCTTTGTTTTTTTGTGTTAACAATATATCTGAAGTTTTAGCTCAATTGTCCGTGTCACGTGAGTTCCTAACATAGCCTAGAGATTATAGCCTATAGCGGTCTAATGCATAAAGTCTAACGCGGATTTTTAGTGCTGTGGTCTAGGAGATATAGTTCTATAGTTTTAGTGATGCCATAAATCGGGATCCAAAGACCGACATAGAAAAAAGACCGACATGGAAAAAAGGCAGACAAGATAAAACAGTTCTACAGTTTCTAGTGTGTTGATCTAAACAGTTCTACAGTTTCTGGTGTGTTGATCTAAACAGTTATAGTTTCTGGTGTGTTGATCTAAACAGTTCTACAGTTTCTGGTGTGTTGATCTAAACAGTTCTACAGTTTCTGGTGTGTTGATCTAAACAGTTCTACAGTTTCTGGTGTGTTGATCTAAACAGTTTTACAGTTTCTGGTGTGTTGATCTAAACAGTTATAGTTTCTGGTGTGTTGATCTAAACAGTTCTACAGTTTCTGGTGTGTTGATCTAAACAGTTCTACAGTTTCTAGTGTGTTGATCTAAACAGTTATAGTTTCTGGTGTGTTGATCTAAACAGTTCTACAGTTTCTGGTGTGTTGATCTAAACATTTCTACAGTTTCTGGTGTGTTGATCTAAACATTTCTACAGTTTCTGGTGTGTTGATCTAAACAGTTCTACAGTTTCTGGTGTGTTGATCTAAACAGTTATAGTTTCTGGTGTGTTGATCTAAACAGTTCTACAGTTTCTGGTGTGTTGATCTAAACAGTTCTACAGTTTCTGGTGTGTTGATCTAAACAGTTATAGTTTCTGGTGTGTTGATCTAAACAGTTCTACAGTTTCTGGTGTGTTGATCTAAACAGTTACAGTTTCTGGTGTGTTGATCTAAACAGTTATAGTTTCTGGTGTGTTGATCTAA